ATGTGGGTTTGTAACATTTGAAAATATTTAATGTCTTTGTGAAAATTCCTTTCCCAAAGTGCTTTTTTTTTTTTTTAATGATAAAAGCTCCTAGCGAACAAAGAAAAATGAAACAAAAGTAGTTTTGACTAAAGTGACTTCATAAGTCCCAAAATGTTGGCATTAAAATGCCCTGAAATCTCTCAGTAGACTGACTTCTACTTCTTTGTGTGCAGAAGAGTCTGATTCCCAGGACGCCTGATGTTGGATCTGACGGAAGAGCACTCACTCGCTCTCTCTGTGCTGCACGTGGGCCGTGACTGGAGCATAGACTTTTCAGTAAAGCTGACTGTCTGTTGACATTTCATCACCAGAAATGCATTTGCAAGAAACAGTCATTGCAGGGTGCATTCTCTGGGCTATCAGAGAGAAAAGAAAAACAAAGTTCAGAGGCCAGCTTTGGTACAAGTTCTGGATGAGAAATGGTGACAATGACTCATTGTGAAGGAATGTCACAGGGCTGCCTGGCCGAGCTCACTTTGCTGAGGGCTGCCCTCCAGTTGGAGGCTGTCTCATTCGGCTTTTCTCTCCTGCCACGCAGTGTTGGCTCTGTGTGCTGAATGAAGAACTTTGCATAGCTCTTTGGGAGCAATGTGGAGGAAGGAAAACTATCCAAGGGTTAAAGCTAAGCTTGCAAGCTAGTGACAGAACCAATAATACTGGTTAGCCTGTGCCCTGCCTGGTTTGTGGCTCTGTTGGTACCTGGAGAACAAGTAGATGACCACAGGCTTTCCCCACAAAGGCTGGGGTCCTGCTTTCATGTTGTGGGCTGCCATCAAGTCAGCCCTATGCCACGGTGAGCCCTTGCACACAGAGCAAGATGCACCCTGATCTTGTGCCATGCCCAACATCGGTGGTGGATCGGACCCTTGTGATCCACGGGTTTTCACAGGCTGATTTCTGAGGCTGACCACCAGGCCTTTCTCCCTAGTCTGTCTTAGTCTGGAAGCTCCACTGAAATGTGTCCAACAACATGCAAGCCTCCACCGGCAGATGGGTGATGGCTCACATGGGTGCACTGGCTGGGAATTGAACCCAGGTCTCCTGCATGGAAGGTGACAATTCTGTCACTGAACCAATGCTGGCCACTATTTGATATTATTGTTGTTAGGTGCCAGCCAGTGGATTTTGACTCACAGTGATGCCATGTGACAGTGAAAGTGAAGCTGCCCCATAGGGTTTTCTAGGCTGTAATCTTTATGGGAGCAGACCACCAGGTCTTTCTCCTGCTGTTTAATGTTGTTAGGTGCCATCAAGTTGATTCCAACTCATAGCTGCCCCATGTGCAACAGAACAAAACACTGCCGGGTCCTGTACCACCTTCCTAATCGTTACCACACTTCAGCCCATCGTTGCAACCACTGTGTCAGTCCATCTTGTTGAGAGTCTTCCTCTTTCTCACTGACCCTCTACCAAGAATGATACATTACCATTCGAATTGGTTTGTTTTTGTGAGCATCTTTGTTACCTGTTAACTGGTAAGCAGTCCTGTTGATTCTTGGCAGTATACCTCTCCCAGAGAACACAGGCTCTGTATAATGAACAGGGAATTCACTCTTTCTAGCTTTCCAGCCTTCATACTGCACACTGTGGATCAGACATTCATTAGGCTGATGCATTCTTTCTTTACAAATTCTGTGATCCTTGAAAGTGTAAGGAGAGAGGGCACTCACCAGGGTGCTGTTGGAATGCGGATGGGCCCAAGGCTCAGGGCAGGGTGCCATTGGAATATGGACAGCCCCGGGCTCGCTCAGGGCAGGGTGATGGAGAGCACTGGGAGAGGGCGGGGCCTGGGGCTTGGGCCTGCAGGGCTGTCACTAGATGCCCTGGGGGACTGCATGTGTGAGGACCACTCGAGAGGCAGAGCCCTTCTGTGGAGAGATGTGGAGGCCAGGACACAGAGCAAGTATCCATGGTCCAAAGTCCACTGGACCAGCCTCCCAGAGCACGCTGGGAAGGGGGAGAAGCTGTAGGGAGAATATAACATGGGCCCAAGGTTATTCCCTCTTTCTGCTTCCTCAGTGGGACTGGGGACCCTTGTGGTGCAGACAATGTAGGCACTTGGCCTACAAGGTGGGCAGTTTGAGTCTACCCAGAGGGACCTAGGAAGAAAGGCCTGGCCATCTAATTCTATAAAATCAGCCACTGAAAACCCTGTTGAGGACCGTTCTACTCTGACACACATTGGGGTGAGGGTGGGTTGGTGTTTAAGGGGCTGAACTAAAATACATTCCGGTCTCCTGAAACTCACTGGACCCCAGGTGCAGTGCACGACTGGCCTGACTTCTCTGAGGAGTGGATGAGGAGCCAGGACATTCCGGTTGATGTGTGTGGTGCTGACAGGTGGGAAGTACTGTGTCTGTTGTGAGGGAAGCGAGGGCGAGGACAGGCACACCCCCAAGGTGTCCCTACTCAGAAACCCCAGACTGCATGGCCCTGTTCCCCACCCCATAGCTGGCACTTTCTAAGGCAAGTGACTACCCCACACTATGAGCTGCTGGGGCTTCTCAGGAGTTGCTGGCCCTGGGGAGGACCAGTCCCAGCCATGGCCCTGCCACATTGCCTACAGCCCCTTGGGGTGGGCAGCCCCCAATTGTGGGCTGGTCCAAGGTTCACACAGGTGGCATCTCACACCTCAGGCTGCCTCAGAGCCACTCGCCTACCCAGCTGCTGTGGTGTCGACCCTGACCCCTGGCACCACTGTGCAGATCAGGGGCCTTCCAAAGGCTGATTGTTCAGAAGTAGATAATGAGGCCTTTCTTCCAAAGCACCTCTAAATGGACTTGACCCTCCAACCTTTTGGGTAGCAGCCAAACACTAAACAAACCAGACTCCAGGTCCAGGACGTCCAGATTACCTGCCGGAACCCTTGCCAATTCCACATTGTGAGGACCCCACGTGTCAAAGCAGAACTGCCCCACTGCGTTGTCTTGGCTGTAATCTTTGTGGGAGCACATTTCCAGGCCTGTCTCCCAAAGAGCCCCTGTGTGTGTTCATACTGCCAAGCTTTCAGTTAACAGTCCATCACCAGTGCCTCTAAACCACGTGCAAACCAAAGCCAAAGCCAAACCTACTGTGGTGGAGTCCATTCTGACTCACCCTCCACGTCCCTAGAGGACAGAGTGGAACTGCCAACAGGGTCTCCAAGGCTGTCAATCTTCACGGAAGCAAAGCCCAAACCACACCCACTGCTGTGGAGTCCATTCCACTCATAGCGCCCCTAGAAGACAGAGTAGAACTGCCCCATAGGATCTCCAAGGCTGTCAGTCTGTACAGGAGCAGAGTGTCTCATCTTTCTCCCATAAAACAGCTGGTGGATTTGAACTGCAGACCTTTTGGTTAGCAACTGAAGCTTTGAACCACTGCAACACCAGAGCTGCAGGTTGGAGCCTAGGGAACTGCATTTCTAACATGTTCCTGGTGATGCTGCCGTGGCTGGTCCAGGGCCCACCCTCTGTGAACCCTGCCTAGACCTCAGTGCTGTGGGGCAGTGGCCCCGCCAGTCCCCGCCCCTGGGCCTACCTGCTTTCTATGGGTCCTGGCCAGGGTCAAGAGAGTTTGTTGTGCATGTTGCCTCAGCCACCACTGTAGGCTCTGATCCTGGAGGAGAGTCCCCCACCCTCCCCTTCCTGCTGCCCAAGGGGAATTTGCTGAGTGGGGCAACAGGCAGTGTGGAAATAGGCATTTAAATCACATATGGAGGTTATGAAAAATAGCACGGATTGCTCCCCCCTGCCAATCTGATATAACTGGTCTGGGGGGAGGTTTGCCTGTGTCAGTATTTTAAAATGTTTGGTACCTGAGTCAATATAGAGCAATAAACTAGTAAACTAACAAACTAATATCCTTGGCTGGTGCAATCTGTTTATGCTCAGCTGCTAACCTACCCACCCAGGGACACCTCAAAGGAAGGCCTGGTCATATGCGTCTGTAGAGATCACAGACCACAAAGGCCTACGGAGCAGCCCTGCTCTGACACGTAGGGTCACCGGGAGTGGGAGTCGACTCATGGCAACGGGTTAGTGGGCAAGAGAAATCCTGGTTAAAGCAGCTTGAAAGTACAACTAGTTACAGAGAGAACTTAGGAAGGCATGTTGGCTTAGAAGAGATCCACCAGCATCCTGGGAAAACGACCCAAGGCGCTAACCCAACTGTAAGTCGATTTACAATATCAGTTTGTTATATGGAAAATCATGCTCCCAGGGCTGTCCAGCATATGAGATAATCTGGTGAGATCAGTTCCTGAAACACAGTCCTTCTCCGTTCTGGATATAACTGCAAGTCTTTGCAAAGTTACATGAGAAAAGAAAGGCACTTATGATATAAGTGTTATAGGACTTGATTAAAGTGCATTTTTCTCTCTGTGCTGACCTTTATTAGCAAGCAGATACCACAGCCTTCTTTCTACTGCATTAATTAGCAGCGCCTGGGCTGTGGCTCACCCGGCAGCATCAGATTCACCAGCAAAAATCACTCACTTTGCGGCAGAGCACGCAGCCACACAGCCCGGCTCGTCAGCTCCCTGGAGGACCATAGAGACTCCCAAAAGCATGGGTGCCAGCTGTAACTCACCCAGTTCTGAGGGCCCAGTAGAACAGATCCAGTGATGACTCTTCAGCCTGAACCCTTGTTAGTCCAGGAAAGCAGAGCACCCCAGGACTAGGCCGTGTCACATACCTACGGGCCATAAGTGAGGCCATCAGCCACTGAGCCTCCAAGAGCTGTTGTCTTTGTAATGCAAGAACTCAGGACTAGGGAAGCTCAGAGGACAGGAGAAGTGGTGATTCAAACCCACCACCCACCAGCCCACTTGGAAGGAAGGTTGGGCTCTACTTCCGTAGTGATACTGCCTCAGAAACCCAAAGAGGGGTCACTATGAGTCAGGTCCAACTCGAGGGCACATATCAACAACAGCAACAACAGGCTGCAAAGATGGGGGGGGCAGCCTTCAGGGAACTGACCTTTGAAGGATAGAGAGAACTCCCCACCACACACCACATCACTGTCACCCTCCAAATCCACAGTCTTAGTGTCTGATTCTCTGTGACTGAGGCAGCTAGACATGTTTCTCTCTTTCTCTTTCTCTATCTTTCTGTGTGTATGTCTCTGTCTTTCTGCCTCTTTTTATCTCTGTGTACCTGTCTATCTCTGTGTGTTTCTTTCCCTGTGTGTATCTGTCTCCTGTGTCTCTCTCTGGCCATCTCTGTCTCTGTCTCTCTCACACATGCACACATACATAGCATGTGATCAAGAACCAATGGTATTCAAAGAAGAAGTTCAAGTTGCACTGATGGAATACGTGAAACATGGGATTCCAGAATTCGCAGAGTACCTATTAAGATGTTCCAACAAATGGATGCAGTGCTAGAGGCACTCACTCATTTATGCTAAAAAATTTGCAAGACAGCTATCTGGACAGCCAATTGGAAAAGATCCATATTTGTGTCCATTCCAAATAAAGAAAATCCAACAGAATGTGGAAATTATCCAACAATATCATTAATATTGGGAGCTCTGGTGGTGTAGGGCCTAAGCATTTGACTGCTAACCAGAAGGCTGGTGGTTCAATCCCACCAGCTACTCCATGGAAGGAAGGTTGGGCAATCCACTTCTGTAGTGATACCACCTCGGAAACCCAAGGAGGGGTGACTATGAGTTGGATCCGACTTGATGGCAGTGAGTTTGGTTTTTTGGTCTCTGGTAGCATAGTGCCTAAGGCTCTTGACTGCTAACCAGAAGGCTGGCGGTTCAAACCCACCAGCCACTCCTTGGAAGGAAGATGGGGCAATCTACTTCCATAGTGATACTACCTTGGAAATCCAAGGAGGGGTCGCTATGAGTTGGGTCTGACTCGACAGCACATAATAACAACAACAGCATTAATATCACATGTAAGTAAAATTTTGCTGAAGATAATTCAAAGCTGTTTCAGCAATATATTGACAGTGAACATCCAGAAATTCAAGCTAGATTCAGAAGAGGATGTGGAATGAGGGATATAATAGCTGATGTCAGATTTGACTATGCAAAGGTATTTGACTGTCTGGATCATAACAAATTATGGATAACATTGGGAAGAATGGGAATTCCAGAACACTTGTTTGTGCTTATGAGGAATCTGAACATAGACCAGGAGGCTACGTACTGTTTCTCTTTTATATATCTCTCTCATGTGACTGTGGCATCTCATGGAGGTTAGTAGTACCCCACTGTGCTATTTTTCTTGTTAGATATTTCTGCTTCTGAAAGCAGAAAAACAGAAACTAGGCATTGCATGGTGTCTTAGGTGGGCTCTCTAAAGAAGCAAACCCAGTTGTTAAGTGCCCTCAAGTCAGCTCCAACTCATAGCAACCCTACATACAACAGAATGAAACACTGCCCAGTGCAGTAACACATCAGACAGTGCTTCACTGCTATTCATAAAGTTTTCAGTGGCCAATTTTATTAGCAGTGGATGGCCCCACCCTTCTTCTCAGTTTGTCTTAGTCTGGAAGCTAGTGTGAAACTTGTCCACCACGGGTCACCCTGCTGGTATTTGAAATACCAGTGGCATAGCTTCCAGCCTCACAGCAACACACAAGCCACCAGAGTACGACAGACTGACCGACAAGTGGTGATATAGGTACAGATTTTCAATCACCTCATATACAGGTGAAAGCTGGACAGTGAATAAGGAAGATCAAAAAAGAGTTGATGCCTTTGAATTGTGATGTGGTGAAGAATACTGAAAGTACCATCAACTCGATGGCACCTAACAACAACAAACACACACACACACACACATATGTATATATACACACATATATATCATATATATATCATATATATATATATATATGATATATATATATGATATAGAGAGAGAGATATCAAGGAGATAAATGGCTCTCACAGTCGTAAAGGCTGGCAAGCCCCAACGCCATGGGTCAAACATCAACATCAAACTGGAATCATCTCCGGACTTGTGGCTGCAAGGGCTGATGAACCCAAGAATAGGAGGAAAAATGGCATGCTATGGGTTCATAGGCTGTGAAGACAACCACCTCAAGATCAGCAAGCAACATGGCAGGCCACTGTTTCACCAGATGGTGATGAGCCAGAGGCAGGATCCTGAGCAGAAAGAGAGCTTTGCCAGAGCTTCTCCACTGAGAGTAGGTCATATCCTGAAGGAAACTCCCTTTTAACTGATTGGCTGCTCATAGCAGATTTCATCATAGAGGTGATTACATTATAGTAGATTTCATCATGGGGGATGATTACATCATAACTGCCAAACCACTGACAATCATGGCCTAGCTAAGCTGACACACAACTTTAACTATCATGCATGGTCCTGACAAAAAACAAGATTCAGTTTTCTCATAGACATGAAAAGGAACCAGTGGTATTGACAGCATTAAAACTACCTACTGGCAACAAAACCAGAAAATGCTGACACAAATAATAAGCGAAAGAGAACTGGATGACATGTAGATTTAACTGGATTCTTCCTCTAATCCTAACATTAATAGTTGTTCCTTATACTTCAATAGCACCTATAACTGTTCAAAGCATCCCTCAGCCATCATCCTTCATCCTCAGACACAAGGTCAGGTACACTGGGCCTTCTTTTGAGGGATGAGGAACACAGGCACAAGGGCCAAAATGATTTGTAAGTTAAATTGTTGTTGTTGTTATGTGCTGTTGAGTCAGACCCGACTCATAGAGACCCGTCTTGGGTTTCTGAGGTGGTATCACTATGGAAATAGATTGCCCAACCTTCCTTCTGAGGAGTGGCTGGTGGGTTAAATCAGCAGCCTGTAAATTAAATTACCCCAAACCAAACTCACTGGCAAGTTGATGCCAACTCACAGAGACCCTACAGGACAAAGGAGAACTGCCACATAGGGTTACCAAGGGTGTAAATCTTTATAGAAGTAGACTGTCACATCTTTCTTCCATGGAGAGGCAGGTGGGTTTGAACCCCCAACCTTTTGGTTAGCAGTTGAATGTTTTAACCACTGTGCCACCAGAGTTCCTTTGTAAATTAAACTTCTTGTTGTTAGGTGCCTTCGAGTCATCTCCAATTCATAGCGAACTTATGTACAGCAGAACGAAACACTGCCCACTCCTGTGCCAGACCCACGATCCTTGCTATACCTGAGCCCATCATTGCTGCATCAATCGATCTTGTTGAGGGCCTTCTGCTTTTTTGTTGACCCTCTACTTTACCAAACATGATATCCTTTTCCAGGGAATGGTCCCTTCTAATAACATGATCAAAGTAGGTGAGATGAAGTCTGGCCATTCTCTCTTTCCGAGGAGCATTCTGGTTGCACTTCCTCTAGGACAGATTTGTTAGTTCTTTTAGCAGTCCATGGTACTTTCAGTATTCTTTGCCAACACTGCAACTCAAAAGCATTGACTCTTCTCTGGTCTTCCTTATTCATTGTCCAGCTTCCATATGTAAAAGAGGCTATTGAAAATATCATGGGGTGTGTGAAGCACACCTTAGTCTTCAAGGAGACATCTTTGCTCTTTAGCACCTGAAAGAGGTCTTTTGAAGCAGATTTGCCCAATGCGATCCTCCTGATGTCTTGACTACTGCTCCCATTGGTGTTGATTGTAGAACCAAGTAATATGAAATCTTTGACATCTTCAATCTTTTCTCCACTTATCGTGATGCTGCTTATTGGTCCAGTTGTGAGGATTTTTTTTTTCTTTATATTGAGGTGTAATCCATACTGCAGACTATAGTCTTCAGTCTTCATCAGTAAATGCTTCAAGTCATCCTCACTTTCAGCAAGCAAAGTTGTGTCGTCAGCATATCACAGGTTGTTAATGGGTCTTCCTCCAATCCAGATGCCATGTTCTTCTTCATATAGTCCAGCTTCTCGGATTATTTGTTCAGCATACAGATTGAATACGTATGGTGAAAGGATGCACTGACATACTCGCTTCTTGATTTTAAAACCCTTGTTCTGATTGTTCTACAGCCTCTTGGTCTATGTACAGGTTCCTCACAAGTACAATTAAACGTTCATGCCTCTCAATGTTTTCTGCAATTTGTTACGATCCACACAATGGAATGCCTTTGCATAGTCAATAAAACACAAGTAAGCATCTTTCTAGTATTCTTTTCTTTCAGTCAAGATCCACCTGACATCAGCAATGATAACCTTCAGTTCACATCCTCTTCTGAATCCACTTGCATTTCTGGAAGTTCTCTGTCAATATACTGCTGCAACCATTTTTTAATTATCTTCAGTAAGATTTTATTTGCATGTGATATTAATGATATTGTTTGATAATTTCCACATTCTGTAGGATCACCTTTCTTTGGAATGGGCAGAAATAGGGATCTCTTCCAGTCAGTCGGCTAGGTCTTCCAAATCTCCTGGCATAGCTGAGTGAGTGCCTCTACCACAGTATCTGTTTGTTGAAACATCTATTCCGTCAATTCCCAGAGCCTTATTTTTAACCACTTCCTTTAGTGCAGCTTTGACTTCTTCCCTCAGTACCATTGTTTCTTGATCATATGCCACCTCCTGAAATGGATGATCATCTACCAATTCTTTTTGGCACAGTGATTCTGTGTATTCCATCCATCTTCTTCTGATGTTTTCTGCATCATTCAACATATTGCCCATGTAATCTTTCAATACTGCAATTCTGGGTTTATTTTTTTTCCTCAGTTCTTTCAGCTTAAGAAATGCCTAGTGTGTTCTTCCCTTTTGGTTTTCTAACTCCATGTCTTTACATATTTCATTATAATAATTGACTTTGTCTTCTCAAGCTGCTCTCTGAAATCTTCTGTTCAGCTCTTTTTTCCTGTCGATTCTTCCATCTGCTTTAGCTACTCTCCATTCAAGGGCAAATTTCAGCATTTCTTCTGACATCCATTTTGGTCTTTTCTTCCTTTCCTGTCTTTTTGATGACCTTTTGCTTTATTCATGGATGATGTTCTTGATGTCATCCCATAGTTCCTCTGGTTTTTGGTCATTGGTGTTCAGTGCATCAAATCTATTCTTTAGATGGTCTATAAATTTAGGAGGTATATAATCAAGGTCATATTTTGGCTCATG